ACACAAAGTATTTTCAGAAAATTGCTAATTCTCAAAGGAGGAACAGTTGCATTGATAGGCTCAAGGTGGGAGAAAATCTAGTTGAAGATAAGGAGCAGATCAAACAGGAAATACTGGATTATTATCAGGCTTTGTACAAGGAGAGGGAACCCTGGAGACCTACAGCAGAGTTTGAGGGGTTACCCTCATTATCTGCAGATGAATGTGTTGATCTAGAATCACCTTTTGAGGAATCAGAAGTCTTGGCAGCCTTAAAGTCTTGTGCTCCTGATAAAGCACCAGGCCCCGATGGGTTCACTATGGCCTTCTTTCATAAGGCATGGGACTTTATTAAAACAGATATCATGGAGGCTCTCAATTACTTCTATCATAGCCGTCATGTGGTCAAATCCTGCAATGCTGCATTTATTGCTCTTATCCCCAAAAAGAAAAGAGCAATAGAACTAAGGGACTATAGACCTATCACTTTAATAGGGAGTGTTTACAAGATAGCTGCAAAAATTTTGGCTGAAAGATTAAAGAAGGTCATTTCCAAGTTGATCTCTGGGCAACAAAGTGCTTTTATAAAAAACAGGCAGATCACAGATGCCTCCCTGATTGCCAATGAGGTCTTGGATTGGAGAATCAAAAGTGGTGAAACAGGCTTGCTGTGCAAATTAGACATTGAAAAAGCTTTTGATCAACTGAGTTGGGCATATCTCATCAACATCTTAAAGAAGATGGGATTTGGAGATAGGTGGATAAGGTGGACAAAATTCTGCATATCAACTGTGAAATATTCCGTGTTGGTTAACAGAAGTCCTGTAGGTTTCTTCTCTCCTCAAAAAGGCCTCAGGCAAGGAGATCCACTCTCTCCTTTTCTCTTTATATTGGCAATGGAGGGTCTCTCGCAGATGCTAGGAAGGGCAAAGGAGCTTCAATGGATCAGGTTGGGGGAAATCCTGCAAATTCAGTCAATGTATCACACCTGTTATATGCAGATGACACATTGATCTTCTGTGGTGCAGAAAGGTCACAAGTAATCAATCTCAACCTCATCTTACTCATTTTTGAAGCATTGTCTGGGTTACACATCAATATGCTTAAAAGCATTATTTATCCGGTGAATGAGGTTCAAAATTTGGAGGAATTAGCTGAACTACTTAGCTGCAAAACTGGCTCCTTCCCCACAACTTATCTAGGACTACCCCTGGGAGCCAAATTCAAATCCACTGGAATTTGGAATGGAGTCATTGAAAAAGTTGAAAAGAGACTAGCAACCTGGCAAATGCAATATCTCTCGATGGGGGGCAGACTCACACTGATCAGTAGTGTCCTTGACAACATACCAACTTATTACATATCTCTGTTTCCTATGCCAAGCTCAGTCCTGAAACAACTAGACCGGCTAAGAAGAAGGTTTTTATGGGAAGGAAACAGTGAGACTCACAAATTTTCACTTGTTAGGTGGCCAAAAGTAACTCAACCAAAGTCTTATGGGGGATTGGGTATCAGGAATCTTAGGCTTCACAACAAATGTATGCTAATGAAATGGCTATGGAGGTATGGACAAACTGAAGCAGGTTATTGGAAGGAGATCATTGACGCCAAATATGGAATTCAGAATCACTGGATCCCCAAGAAAAGTCCAGCACCTCATGGAGTGGGTTTATGGAAACACATCAACAGCTTTCAAAATGATTTCTTTCAGAATACATCATTCAAAGTTGGTAGTGGTGTTCATGTGAAATTCTGGAAAGACATATGGCTTGGTAATACAACACTAAAGGATTCATACCCAGGTCTATTCCTAATAGCCTGCAATCAAGACTCAAATATTGCTCAAAACACAGAGAACAACATTTGGAATCCAGTGTATAGAAGAAATCTTCAGGATTGGGAAATCAATGGCTTACTTGCTCTCTTAGCCACACTGGGAGATTTCATCACGGAAGATCAACAACCAGACAGAATCATCTGGGAGAACTCAAAAGAAGGAAAGTACACAGTCAAAGAGGGCTACAACCTTATCTGCTCACATAATGGAATACTAGAGGATTGGCCCTGGAAACATGTCTGGAGGACCAGAATGCCACTCAAAGTAGCATGCCTCACATGGACTGCCCTCAATGAAGCTGTTTTAACACAGGACAATCTTAGTAGAAGGAGCATTACTTTAGTCAACAGATGTTATATGTGCCAACAGAGATCAGAAAGTGTTAACCATCTGTTTCTTCATTGCCCAGTCACTGTTGATATTTGGAACTTCTTCCTATCCATTTTTGGTATAACTTGGATCATGCCTCACACCATCAAGGAAGCCTATATTAGCTGGATTTTTTGGAGAATTGACAAAGCCATCAAAAGAATATGGAGAATGATCCCGGCAGTCATATTTTGGATTGTTTGGAAGGAAAGAAATGGCAGATGTTTTGATGGAATATCAACTCCAACACATTCCCTAAAAGCTAGATGTTTAGTTAGTTTGTTCAGTTGGAACTTTCTTTCCCCTGTTAATAGTGTTGACACTTTTTTGGATTTTGTTAGCTCCCTGGTTCTAGCATAGGTACTCTTGTACTGGAGCTTACAATGTTTTTTGTCTTTTTTACGGGAGCTAACATAATTTCTGTTCTTGTACTTTGGCATCTTCCTGATGCCCTTTCAATGATATTATCTTACTTCATCTAAAAAAAATAATATATGCACACTAGGGTGTTTGATGAAATGCTTAAGCGACCAAAAACATGGCCAATCTTGCTAATAATGGTCCAATTGACTTATATTATTGTAGATTGAAGTTGTACGAGTGGTTGAACGCCATAGTACCACTAAGGAACGTAATTGAGGTATGTTTGCCTAAGTTCTTTCCCCTAGAATCGACTTTTAGAAAATATCATATCTTCTGCCATGTGTCTCCTAATTTGATAGCTTTCAAATAATTAGCCTATTGTGGTAGACGACATATATGCTATCCATTTATTCTCTACAAAACTTTATAGTGCCATATACTATGTTTTCATATGACAAAATGCTATTAATGTTTCAAGTTTTCAAATGTAAATGAACGTAATTTTGAGGCCTTCATGACTTTACAACTCTCAATTGTTAAATGTATTGTTTATGAAATGACCTACAGATTTTGACTTTAGCACCAAAGGTGTCAAATGAAATGAAATATTTTTATAAATATTTTGGAAGCTTTATTATGTAACCAAGAAGGTATTGGCCGAAGGCGCCAACACTTGAAACTACACGTACCGGCGTAGTATTATAGTCACCCTTCGTTAGATTCACTTGGCTGGGATAACGAATGCCATAACGAGTTGCTATCAAACTAATGTCAATCCACAGGGCATTATGGTGAGATGGCCTAGCCGACCGGGCCGAGATCGGACGCTATGTAGTACACATAGATGAATAGCAAAATGGTCTGTAACTAAAGAACTCCCACTAAAAGATTATGTTGCTTAAAGCTAAGTTTTCTATTGTTTTATGATATGAACATGTTCATTTATTTATTTGCACATTACTTCTCATGTCCTTCCCCTTTATGTGATTGTTCCCTTGTTTTTATGTGTAAGAGTTATGATGCATACGAGCTTATTCCTCATGTACTCACGTTTGTTTTACCGCGGGCACTGCGCTGCAGGTACGACTAGCTTGAACGGTGTAGACCCTCGTTAGGTACTCCTCTCATATTTGTTGCTACTTGGTGAAGCCCATCTCATCCTCGGGGTATTATTTTGGTATTTCAGACCCGGAACTTTGTTTGGTATAGCCGCGGCCCTATCACCGGCATTTTATTTCTTTTCCTTTCCACGTTGTCATAGAGGCTCCATAGACATTTGTGGGTTAGATTAGACTATGTATTTTGTTAAATTCTATTGCTCTCATGGCATGTGTAACAACTACTTTATTATGTAACGTTTTCAAAATTAACGGAAAATAATGTTTTAAATGTATATTTTACACGTTCAAGTCATGCATACGCTATGGATGCTAAGTAACGGAATTACTGGTCCACCCGATCATAGGTTTAAGGCACCGGATGCCATGTCCCACTCCCCAAGGTTGGGGCATGACAAGCAGTGGCCTGATTGTAGTACGGAAAAGAGAAAGCAAATCTCCTTCTGCCACATAGAAGGTCTATTGATTAATATCTGTAGATTCACTTGGTTATCACTGTCTTTCAAAGACATTCTATCCTTGTGGATGGTGCTCTGTCTAACACAGAAAAGGTGGGAAGCTGGAGGAGAATTCCTAATAAAATAACTTGATCATAGGTTGAACGGAATAGGAGAACTTTATTAGGCGAATGACTCATCCTGCTTATTTACAATCTATTCTTCTCATTTACTGGATTGTTGGTTATAGGGGAAACGTTCATATTTTGTGTTGTTTCTTAGATGCATAGAGAATGCAGAGTAAGTCACTAAGTCGTTTGCAGCATTTGTTAATTCTCTGGCTTTAAGTTATAACTTGATTTTACTTTCCCGGTTTTGTACGTAGATTTGTTTATTCTCTGGCTTTAAGCTGCAACTTATTTCTATTTTCCCACATTTTTCGTGATATTACGAGCATGGCACTTGTGAGGCCAATTTTATCTTGTTTAGGTACTATAGGCAAAAAAGGCAGAGCTTAACTAAAATGAGGATGTGGCTTGATTTCTTCAAGAAACATTAAGATCCCCAGAGCAAGGATAAGAAAAGGCAGGAGACATGTTAAATCCTGCAAATGGAGGACAAGCAACACCATCTAGTTTAGAAGAAAGGAGACACAGCGGAGGATTTGGCTGAAAGTTCATAAAAGAACAAATGAGTTAAGGTATTAAGGAAGATCATAAATAAAACGGAAAGCATCGAGTTTCCCAATTTTTTCTCCCTTTAATCCTGGGTAGGCTCTCTTACCTTTTGAAATTTTTTTGGGTGGTTTTTGACATAAGTGGCTCTCTTTCTTTTAAAAAGAAAGAAAGTGGGGAGGGGATGCAGAAATTTCAACATGTAAGGAAAAAGAGGGAGAACCTTGGGCAGTATTCCATTTGGATATATAGGTAAGTCAACTCGAGCTTATTCTCCTGTCCAAGGTGGTCCGACATACTTCCATCCACATAGGTGAAACTAGAGCTCACAACAGTTCTGGAACCGCAGCTGGAATCATCGCAAGATAGAGTGATGCCTGTTTCAAACCATGCCTGATATAATTCAAGTATTAGATTTTAAACATTGTAAAACAAAGGGGCACCTTGAACTCAAAAAATGACTTTGAAATGCACCCACTAGATTTATATCACATACCTGGTAATAGCGAACAACATGTTGATGCTGCAACCGCGAAAGTGTGGCAACTTCCCTATAACATGGAAGAAGAAAGTTCTTGAAGTAACACAACGTCAAGTATCTAGGAAATAACAAAGATTCTGCTTTATGTAGTCATAAAAACAACTCCATAGCAAGCCGACGAAGTCTCTGCTGACATATAGAGCATGTAAGGGGCAATGACGAATATTAACAATGGAAAACATGAACTCCCACAGAAAAAGAGTGTGACACATGAATTGATGAAACACTATTATCAGTGCGATACAGGAAAGCATTAAAGAGAGCTCAATCACATAGCCAAATAAAGGCGAAAAGAAAATGCTGAGACCAGAAATACAGCAGAAAAGACATATGAGAAGGTAGAGAAACACAAAAAATAAAAATAAAAAAAAGCTTATGTGAACATGCAGAGGGAAGAAAACACAAAATCAGAATAAGGCCAAGAGGAAAGAAAGAAAAAAGTTTATATATATATATATATATATATGACAAATAAGAATCTTATCAGAGGGTAAATCTGGTAAAATCACATGCTTCTCCATGATTGCGAAATCATCTCATCAATAATCCCTTTCCAAAGGGCAATGGATAGGGAAGTCTGAATTGGGCTCATTGCTAGTTGCACAAATTATACATCAAGAAGCAGAATATTTTTCTTTTTCCTCAACTCCAAGCCAACAACTCACAACCAAAATATCAAATTTACCATGAAGAGGAGACTATGTAACCAACTTTCGCTTGCAAATATATGGGAAACAAATGAAAAATTGCTGGAAGCCTAGGTTGTACCAAAGAGAAGAAAGAGATGGAGAGAGGGGTGTGTGTAAACATGGAACTGAAGGGTATAACCAAGATGGGGAAAAAATCAGCATAGCAGGAGACATGTAGGTTATAGGAGGAATTGTCTCAGAAATGCTGAATTAGGTAATGCCACCTAGTCGCTTTGTATAAGCACTATTAAGCTGCATAAGATTAAAAGCCAACCAATACAAAAGAAAAAAAACAGACAGTTAAGAAGTAAAAAATGCATCAGGAATTCCTTTTTCTCCAACAATGGCTATTGATTCAGAATGCAGCACAAAACTTTGCCAGGATATATGGAATGAAAATATTTATAACGGAAGGACAAAAGATCTTTAAAGTTTCAAATGGATACCTAGTATATCTGTAGCTAATCAACTTCTAATTCTAGCATTGAACGGGAAGGTTTCAGAACTTAATTTGTTAAAAGAAACAAGAATTCTGCAGCATCTAGGAAAGAACGGACATGAAGAAAACTGGTCTTGCTTAATACCCCTAATATTGAAGTAATGTGTCGAACTGCAAAGATGAAAATTTAAGTTATGAGGGAACAACATTGTTTTTCTTTTTAGCTTCTCACAAGGAAAATCATATTATGTTCTTATGAATATAACAGCACAATACATATGCCTTTTGAGATTAGGATGTCAATAAGAATCTGATATAATATTGTCTTGAATATTTTACGTTCTCAAACAAGCACCATAAATTGTCTTTTTGGCAAAAGCTAATTTATGATGTGACATTCTTGGTCATACACACACACAAAAAGAAAATCCATGTAAAATATGTATAAAACAATACTATTCAATTATAGTGGTAGTACTCAAATTTTCCTCGTCTCTATGAGTGACTCACCCTCATGTAATATTTTTATAGATTGACATGGTAGTCGAATATTAAAATTTTTGCATCAAATCTTTATGCTCAATTTGACTAAGTGGAGACTGAACCCTCTAATTGTTTTTTCTTTAAAATACATACTTTCCAAGTATATGATGAAATGCACGAAAATGATTTGAAGTGTTTTGTACCTTGTGCATGTGGGGACGAGCATGTGCTTGCGTCTCTAAGTTATGAAATTATGAAATGATATGTTGACCATGCAAATTACGTTTTTTGGACTACTTTATGTTTTTATGAAGTTACTTTCTTCCAAAGTGATTTTTGACATATATCAACATATTTATGCTAAAAGTTTAAGATGATTATGCTTAAGGGAATGCCTTATGCTTTTGATGACACGAAGCCTTATGATTATATGTAATTATGTTTCTAGGAGATACTATAGACATCTGAGTTGGATGTTTGCCTTTCTTTTGAAGGAGTCTTTCACACCATAACCACACATACAGGTGTGGAATTACTTTATTGTGATACATCTCTGGCTGATGCCTCCGTGGTTTAAAGCTCGAGTGGTTAATACCCTAGTTACTTTACTTGGAAGTCATTTGGTAGATGTCCATGCGGGTTTATAACTTGGATACCCATGTGGTAGATGCCCATGGGGTTCTACCTTGAGCCATGTAATTGGATTTGGCGTGCTCTTGTGGTACTATGGGTTCTAGCATCCCCGGCCTTACCACGTTGTACTGGTGTAGGTCACATACGCCATGTTGATGGATGGTTATGTTAGAGTCTTGAAGTATTCTCTCAATTGTGTGCATTTATTTTAATCGTTTGGATTTAAGCTAATGGTTTTTAAAGTGAGCTATAATTTCAAATGTTTTTTAACTGATAAAATTGCATGTCATGTTTTCTTTAAGACTTATCCCAACTTTTAGAAGCGGTCGATGAGACATAGTGGGTCGCGAGACTCACTTACTTTCCTTTGATCTGTAGATCCTTTAGCAGGTCCGCCAAGCCTCACATATGACTTCAACTTGTTCTAGTCGCAGCAGTTAGCCTTAACCCTCCATCCGTGGTGGCCACTCACTTACCTTTGATCCGTAGATTGTTTTGTGCTTGAAGCCCCCTTGTTTTTTTATGCTCGACTTGTTGTTCCCTTGTTGCTTTACTCGGAAGTCATGTAATTGATGCCCCTGTGGCTTATTTACTCAGATAATTATCCATGTAATTGATGCTTATTCGCATTGATATCATATAATTAGCTTTGACGTACCCTTGTGGTACTATGGGTTGTTGTCATCCCCGCTTTACCGTGTTGTACTGTGGTAGGTCATAGAACTGTGTCAATACATCGTTATGTCAAAATCATGAAGTATACTCCCAACCTGTGTATTTATGTTAATCGTATGGATTTATGCTTAGGGTTATGAATGTGACTTATGATTTCAAATGTTTTTTACTGATAAAATTGCATGTCATGTTTTCTCTAGGACTTGTCCCGACTTTTAGCAGCGACCAATGAGACTTAATGGGTTGTCCTACCTTTTTTAATTTCTTCTTTTCGTTTCACTCAATTACCTTTGCTCTGTAGATTCTTTAGCAGGTATCAACTAGCCTCACATGTGGCTTCGCCTTGTTCCAGACGGATTGGTTGGCCTCCACATCCGTTCATGGTGGTTGGGTGGTTTTACATTTGTTATCTTTTGTGTCTGTGTTGCGTCTCAACTTTTGATACTTTTAGGAGCTCCATGATGACCTTGTGGGAGTATTAGATGTACTTGTGCGTATATAGTTGATATGATACCTTAATAGGACGTGTATTCATGTTATGGGTCTATGCATCAAATTTTGAGAAGGCAAATACATATGCAGACCCTCATACTTGCCCCTTTTTTCATTTAGACACTTAAACTAAGCTTTGTTCCTATTGAACACCTCAACTTGAACCCAATGTACCTATTAAAAACGTCTCCCATATTTTTTGGAACTTAAGCGTGTGTTTTCAAACGCGTTTTATTCATGGTAATAACGAATCAATATGTGACACGTGGAAAGTAAGAAGAAAAACAAAAAGAAAAAACCTTTCTTTTATAATATTTTTTATTCGAATCTCTCTCTCCCCATCTTCTTCTCCGCTTCCCAACACCCCTAAGACCTCCACCATGAAAATGAAACTAATTTATCGAGGAGAGAAGGTGGCCACATATCAATCATAACTTGAGAAATAATCCTACAGAATCGCTTTGATTTTCCAGTTAATATTTATGTGGCACATAGCAAACATAAATTGAGAATGAATCACTTAACTTCAAGGAAAATTCTTTAATAGAGGCAATTTATATGCTCTTCTTTCACTTAAGAATTATGGAAACCAAATAGTATTTTGGCCTAGTTAGTTATTGATTGAGGTTAAGGAGTATGAAATAATTTTACAGAATAAGAATGAGGGTGGCTGGCGAGTTGGTTGCCTTATGGTGGAGCCACGAAGGAAATCTTTGAGTATCTCTTAGTATCCCTGTGGAGAATAATGTGTGTAAATTTTGTAGTATGATTATGTGGCGTGTAGGTGAGTGAATTCCAATATCTGTGTGTGGAATTAATTTTGTGGTGAGAACAGAGGAGGAAGGTAGTGGGTAATGGTGATGATGGTGGCAGGGGGAGAGAGTGAGGAAGAAGGAAATTTTTTTTTTGATTAAAAAAAAAGAAGCGTCACACGCTCATACTCAGTGCAGCACATACACTTTGCCATGTCAATAATGTGTGTTTAATAGACACACTTAGGTTCAAGTTCAAGTTCAAGTGTTCAATAGGAACAAAACTTAGTTTAGGTGTTTAAATGGTATTATCACAATGGTGATGCATGATAGGTATTATCACATATCGGTTCGCCCTACCCCCTATGTTGTTGGCTGCCGGTTCCGACCCTCCAGTTTATGGTAGTGTGACATTAGCCTTCCATCCTGCCAAACCCTATGCATGCCAGTCATTATGGAAACTAGATAATTGGCAAATATTCTTGTTTAAAATTGCTTGTTCTCCAAGTTTCAGCACATCAAAGATGGTGAATTGTTACAACTGTTTCAATTATTTAAAAAAGCGACTGTAAAGTAATTAATCAAAAGTTAATCTATTTACTTTAAAAATGAATAATCTACTAATACAGTTTTTGTTCCTTGAATAAACAACAGTTCTAATTATAATACTGATACCGATTAATTCAGGTAAAATAACTCAAAAAACAAGCTGTAAGAATAACAATTGCATCTATAAACAGGAATAAGCATGTAAATGAGCAATGACAATAACAAAGATGAAGCACAGTATTAACACTCTAGCACCAAGGTTCAACATTGAATGCTACTTAGTTTTCTGCACAAAAGTCACACTAATATCTGCCGAATCAACATCGGATACAAACCTCAATATACGGTCATTTACAGGCAGACTCTTGTCCTTTAATCGAATCTTCTTCACTGCATATTGCCTCCCATCAAGCTTATTCTTGCACAACACAACGTGACCAAACCCACCCTGACCTAAAATGTAAATAATCAGGAAAACATATTTGTACCAGCACAAATGTGCACATGGGAAAGACTGAAGACGGTTATCATGCATTCCAAAACGAGCTCATAAATTTGAGTGTGCAGCAATGCTGTGAATAATATTAGGTTCAAGCTATCCCAAACTCGTCTCACTACAAGCCACTATCTTTTGATCTAGGTCTAAGTGTATCCCATCTTGTATATAATAAATGAGTATGAATATCAAAAGGGACCTCATTTCCAAGTTTATTTAAGAAGAAAAATTATTGCACACACAAATTATTTTTGGTTCAGCTTAACCAGTCCTCTATACAAGGGCGAATGTCCTGCTAAATCCAGGAAAAGAGGGCTACCAACATTCTGTTTTGATATTACAAAAGAAACTGTACAACCCAGCCATACATCCACCATTACAATGTTCAAATCTATATTAGTGAGTGCGATGCTACAAATATTACCTTATGTGTTACTATTTCTAAATGTCTAAACTCTGAAGCTTAATCTTATAAGCACTGTTCAATATACAAATAATTTATGTGCATTCCTATTATCATTTGCTTTGGAGGTTTCGAACAAGACAGGCTCACGTAAATATACAAAAAGAAACATCAATTCAAGCGAGAAAATTATAACGATGAACCTGGATGAGGTCTCCTCACAAGCCTTTCAGTTAAGGATTGACAAAACATCACAAAAAGATTGGGTGTCATTCTTAGAAATCATGTCTTTTTGCAAGGTTTCATACTTTTTGGTATACTTCTTATATACGGGCATCTTTTACCCTTACTTTAATGAAATTTATTACTTAATCAAAAAAAACGTACTAGGATGTTTATCGGGCGTTTTTATCGAAGACACCAATTGTAGAATGAGACTGTAACAGTGCAGCAAATCGAATACATTTCTCTTTTTTCTTTTTCTTTTTCTAAATGCTACCATAAAAAAAAGAGGAGAACAAATTGCTTATTGTGACAGCGATTAATAGTTTATATTCTCTTCAAAATGATAGATGCATCACTAAAGGTTAGAAATAAGGGAAAGCACATAAGCTGGAAAAACTTTCACTCACCTAGGGGTTGGAGCTCCTCAAAGTCATTCAAATAACGAGAGTTTTGAGGAGGTGAAGAATTCTGCCCTTCAAATTCAGATGAAGCTTTCCAAAATTGTGAGAGCTTTGATGACACCTATTAAGTTCATTTGTTGGAAATTACAATACTACTGTCAACAACATGGACGTACAACTGACGCAAAAAAGAAGCCAGTCAAGAAAAGAACAATAAACTTTACCTTATGTGCTTGAAAAACACGATCAAAAGTCCCATCAAAAAATGAAGAAGGTTTGCTTGCCAAATCTTGTACACGTTTGGAGACGATCTTAAAGATAAGTCATTTTCAGAGGCAATAAACATTTTATCAGATTTAATTGTAGTAATGACCTAATGAATTAAATGAAGAACAAAAACTTAAGCAGAAAATCATAAAAAATAACTAGATTAAGTTGATCATACCCCAAGGTCAAAGAGCTCTGATGTTATTTCTGGCAAAGCATCAGATAGCGGTCCTTTAGGGCCGCAGGCAAGCCGAAGCAAGTGTGCCTAAAGAAGCAGAGTTTAAAGCATCTTTATAGTTAATTCGGGAAGGGATGAAATTAAAAATTGGATTCATAAGAAGTGGAAGACAATTCAGGAGGAGAAGTTCTCTAGGCTCTTTTCATATTCTACAAACCCAAGAGCCAAATGCATTACATTCCATCCTGTCCTCTTATCATTTCTACACAAAACCAGAAAAACACTAGAAGTTGCTTTAGTTTTGTTTCCAGCATTTAAAAAATTCACTTGTACTTTCAAAAGAATGCTAGAAGCTAGAGGGAGGTACCAGAATGAGGTCTTTTTCTAGAGTGTGGGGTAAATGGTCCTGGACCAGAGATCCAGAGGACACCAGTTCTGAAGGTTTAGGTTCAGTTTCCCACTGAGCATCACCACTGTCTGATATATTCCCTTCCAAAAAAATATTCTGTAAGAGAGTTGTGATGTTAGAGAGCACATCCTTCAAGATGGACAAAAATATCCTTAACATCAACAGTAGATCTGACAATTGAGCTAGCCACTGAAAATATAGCAAGAAATGGATAATAAAATATTGACATCAGAAGGTCAAAAAAGGGAAAAAGACTAATATGCCAGTGATTTGAACTGATTGCTCCTGTGCAATCCTTAAAAGAAACTATTTTTCCACTAAATGGATAAAATTTTCCATTTCAAAAGTGAAACTTTCATTTTTGTTGATAAAAGTAATAAATTTCATTTAAGAAGAGGCTTCAAAAAGTCCCCGTACACAAAGAGTATACAAAATAGTAGAAACAAAAATAAATCTTTTATACTCCCTCTGTTTTAATTACTGTGAACCTTTTGACAGGTCAAGAGTTTAAGAAAAAAGAGAAGACTTTTGAACTTGTGGTGTAAAACGAGGCACATATATTTTGTGTGGCTAAAAATCATTGCATAAAGGTACATTGTTTCCAAATATGGAAAGGGTCATTCTTTTTGGCATGGACTAAAAAGAAATATGTTCATATAAATTAAAACGGAGAGAGTATAAATTTACCTTGCACATGACATGGTCTTCAGTTGATTCATCCGTATAACTTTTGCTCAAATCACTACAACTTTTACTCTCGCCTACACTCTCTTCTTCAAGATCATCCAATTTCATTTCAGCCTTACGCAAAGAGTCTTGCTTTGCTGCTTCATTCAATGCTGGCTTCACAATTTGGTCAATTTTCTTTTGCTGATTGTCATATTCATGTTTGAGACCTTCTGATACATGGGGCTGCACCAAAGAGTCTATGCGACCAGTATCATTCATTCCCAGACTCCAATGCCATGACTCACCTGAGCCACTAAAAAGATCTAAAAAGCCATACACAAATGGTCCACCAAAAGAACAGGTATCGCCAGATGAAGCTGACGCATCCTTATAAGTCAATTGGCTGGTAATATCGGTCGACTGGCATGAAACCTGAAACAAATAAAATGCACTTGGTCAAATTCCAAATATCTCTAGGATAATGGTATCAACTTTTTAGGCATCATGCATTTCCAACTAAAATGGTACACCACCAACATTGCACATTAAAGAACTAAAACAAAGAGGAGAAAGTTGTGTGCTTCCTATGCTCTGCTATGAAAAAGGAACAGAATACTACTTTGCTGCAGTTAAAAAAGCAATTATGAAAGCAAGACAGCTTACCGATCCATGCAAATGCTCCTGTGGAACAATTTCAGACAAGAATTCTTGAGCAGCTTCAACCAAATTGTAGATCATTACACGCCCTTCTCGAGCGTTGGAGCTGGCCTGGGATGGTTTAAAAGTTATAAGTGAGATAACACGAAAGTCGTAGGTATTAACCAAAGAACTCAGTGTAGTTAAAACAAAGGCCGTAAAAGAAAAGACATGAGCGCATCAAATGCTTTAGCAGCCTACATTACTTTAATAAAGCAGGTAAACCTTTATTTACTTTAACCAAGTATGCGAGGATAGGCCAGAAAACACTTGCATGAAATGATTCACAGAAAGTCGTAAAGCCCGATATTATGCATCTCATTAAGCGCAACGATGAGTAGAGGAAATGATCAACTGTATGTGTAAAAGCTCAGGGGAAGAAGTTGATCATCTTTTGTTGCATTGCCCTGTGTCCTCGGCTTTGTGGAGGGTGATCCTGAACCTTTTTGGTGTTCAATGGGTGATGCCAAGCACTGTAAAGGAAATGCTATATAGCTGGGCCGGTTTCCGTAGAAGAAGAAAGCAAAAGGCGTGGAAGTTCGCCTAGTTAGCTCTCATGTGGATAGTTTGGGGGGAGAGAATAGGAGAGCTTTGAGGGGATTGAGTCTCCTTTTTCACATCTTAAGAATAGTCTTTTATCTTTGATCGCTTTTTGGTGCACTCATATAGCCCCTATTTGTATAGAAGATTGGGCGTCTTTTGTAGAGAATCTTGTTCTGATGTAAATTCTCTACTTTTTGGTATACTTCTTGTATACGGGAGTTCTCTCCCTTTTGATTAATACAATTTACCTTATCAAAAAAAAAGGAAATGATCAACTGTAGTAAAACTTCCAAATTCATTGATCTACCTGCACGAGTTTCACAAGTGTAGGGATGTTGTAAATAAATCTGGGAGTTGATATACTGGAAAAAGAAGCTCCTTGGACCAACGAGTAACTAACCTTCACTAACCCAAATGTGAGCATTGAGAAATACAGCAAATATGTCTATCCTAACCAAACACCAATTTAGTACTGCATGTTGACTATGTTTTAAGTAACAGGATTCATGCTTCTCATTAATACTATTACAGCAATAGAACCCAATTATCATCTTAATAAAACCAACATATCCTTAAGAACAGAGTACAAACACAGAAAAACAACCTGGAAAGAACGCAATTTAGAAGCCACACTTAATAGTCCTATAAAACGATGATATTACCATAGAATTTTAGACATGCCTTGAGCACGTAATATCACGGTTAATCTTCTCAAACTACTATTCTCACCATAGAGTCAAAGGTGTTCCTAGGAATTGTAATGATATTTGTACTGGGAAAGCCTGCGAAGAGGAGAGAAAGCAACCAGTCATCTGGATATTGAGAAAGCAACCAACCAGCAGCTGCTACGGCAGATCAGGTATTGTTATTGTACTTACGATCATAAGTGCTAAGAAAAATGACCTTGGGCCCAACACAAGCCAAAAGCAAGCTGAAGTGGTGAGGATTGCCCTAGACAACATCTCATTCCCTCCACCAAATGGGACACTTAACAACAAGTAAAGCTAATGTTGGAGCATGGACTACATGTGATCACTCTGTGCCCATGGCCACGACTACCAAACCTTTTACAAGGAGTCAAGCTAAGGAGCTTTTTTTTTGTGTCAAGCTAAGGAGTTGTAGGCGCTGGAATGATGATCAAGAGGTTGGGAGCGTCAATGAATCATTTAGAGAAGTCCCTTTCATACTATACATTGCTACTATGGAAGGAGGGATATGATGGGAGCGTGGAGTTGTAGAAAGGAGCCTTGGATCACAAATTGCAGCTGCAGTTTCTGAACCGGTAGAAGAGAGATGCGATCGTAGAGTTCAAGACGCGACCCCATAAAAAGACTTAGTGAACCGCAATCGCAGAAGGCAAGCCGCAAACACAGAGGGACACCTAGGCGCAGAAGACCGTGATAGCGGAGTCATGGCTGCAATTGCTTAAACCAGTCAAACTTAGCCTGACCGCGATAGCAGAGATACTTGTGGAAAGATAGCTTTATCCAAAATGGCTAATGATGTTTTAAGGCTATCTTTGGGTTATTTTGGGCAATCTATGTAAATAATTAACCTAGCTATAAACTCTAAAGCCCTAGTTCATTTCCTTAGCTTGGATAAAAGTTAGTATGACTTTTAGTTTGAATTTAGAATTTCTTAGGTGATCTCTTAATTGCTACTTGATTTGCCATAGAATTTGCAAGAGTGATAAATCTTTTGAGGATTCTATTGGTATAGGTGCAAACTTGATTCTAGTAGAGGTGATTAAGATTGTCTTCTAATTCTAACTAATGCCGGTATCTTATCAAGTTTTGTGTCTAACTTCTATCTCTTTTACTTGTTTTGATCTTCCCTTGTTCTTGTATTTCAATTGTTATCAACATAGGTGATTAGCATGTGGCTGACAATTGTTAATGGTCACTCCGCATAAAAGGACTGAGGTAAGAGAAAGATATCGTATTAGTAGAAAAGCACTTGTACAAATAGAAGTTAATCCTAAATACAAAGGAAAAGGACCAGAATGATAGAGAACATAAAGGAAACAATATTGTCAAGCATACACTTTGGGCAAGATGAAGCCTTATAGGAAAATGAAATGGAAGCAAGAACAATGAATTAGTCAAGCATGCAGATAGATTCAAGCAAAAATTGAAAAATATAGATAATCTTGTACTGCACATTTTTTTTGATAAGGTAAATTATATTAATCAAAAGGGAGAGAACTCCCGTATACAGGAAGTATACCAAAAAGTAGAGAATTTACATCAGAACATGATTCTCTACAAAAGACGCCCAATCTTCTATACAAATAGGGGCTATATGAGTGCACCAAAAAGCGATCAAAGATAAAAGACTAGTTTTAAGATGTGAAAAAGGAGACTCAATCCCCTCAAAGCTCTCCTATTCTCTCCCCCCAAACTATCCACATGAGAGCTAACGGGGCGAACTTTCACGCCTTTTGCTTTCTTCTTCTACGGAAACCGGCCCAGCTATATAACATTTCCTTTACAGTGCTTGGCATCACCCATTGAACACCAAAAAGATTCAGGATTGCCCTTCATAAAGCCAAGGACACAGGGCAATGCAACAAAAGATGATCAACTTCTTCCCCGGAGCTTTTATACATGTAGCACCAACTAACAAGTGTGATTCCTCTCTTTCGCAGATTTTCAGCAGTCAAAATCACTCCCCTCGCCGCTAGCCATGCAAAAAAGCACACCTTCGTGGGCGCCTTAGGAATCCAGATCGAGGAGTATGGAAAAGTGGCATCCTCTCTCACCAACATACTCTGGTAAAAGGACTTTACGGTGAACAAACCATTGCCACGCAAACCCCATCTCCAAGAATCACAAGATGGCTGGGGCTTGTCTTGCCCATATAGCAGTGTCAACCAATCTTGGTGCTACGCAATCTCCAAATCTTGCATGTTCCTTCTAAATGAGAGATCTCATACTACCACTTCATGCTCTTTACGAATCTGTTGGACCATCAATTCCTTCTGGTTTGAAACTCTGAAGATGTGGGGAAAGGAGACCCTCAGAGTATCCTCTCCACACCACTTATGATTCCAAAAGTTGATTCTCCTTCCATCCCCCACCCTGTAAGTGATGTTGCCACTGAAGGCTTCCTAATTCTTCATGATGCTCCTCCACATGCCACAGTACATTTGGTTCAATTGTACTGCACATTACAACATGAAATAGGTCTAGAATCCCCGACATATAATGGATTTTTAACCTTTGGAGTCAGAGTGATATTGGTGCAATTAAGGGGTCCATACATCACCTTAGTACGAAAGAAATGTAGCAGAGCATTTGTTATATCATCTCCTTTTCAGGGCCATGCTTTCTTAAAGAAGTAAGCACCAAGTCCTACACTCTAGGGTTCTTGATGTCTCAATAACCCATATAGCATTTCCAATCTCCTCTTTTGTGAATAGTGCAATCAATTCCATCTATTGTTCTCTGCTCAAGATATGTCCCTTCTTCATCACATTTGGTTCAATGGCTAGCAATCGAGATGCTGCAGATCCGAACAACAATTAATAGTAACCGAAAATTTCTTCTTCAATACCCTCTTGAGCATGTATCCTCTCTCACTTTTGGTAGATGTTGATGATCTAATTGTTGTTATGGGCAACTCTGTTCTTAACGTTGAAATGAAAGCAGGATGTGTTTGAATCACATAGCTTTAATCATAGGATGTGTGACTTTTGTTTTACAATAATCTGTTCAATGGTTGACCATTTTTCCAACTCCTTCCTTCATTGTCATCCCTCATAGAAATCTGAATCTCTAAGGGGTCGTTTGGTATGAGGTATAAGAAGGTATAGGGGTGGTATAAAAATTTAATACCACCTTAATACTCTGTTTGGTTAGCAAACCAGGTATAAGTTATCCGGTATTAAAATTAAAGCCGGGATAACTTATACCTTATAGAGGGTGGAGAAATCAGCACCGGTATAACTTATACATTCTTCTTAGAAATTATGCAATTGTTATTCTTAATACAGCATACCAAACAGTGAATAAACAACAATCCCATCATAACTAATCCCAGTATAACTTATCCCAACAATACTTATACCGGCATAAGCCATATTCCAACCAAACGACCCCTAATAGTTGTTGTCTAGTGTCCCTTACTGTGTACTAACACCAATAAACTCAGTCCATGTCCCCTGTACGACATTTGTACCACCAGCAGGTTGGTTTGAGTTCCCTTAGTTGCCAATCTCCCTTTTACCTCTGTCCAATTCTCACAAGAGTCAGATGAGTCATCTGCAGTAAGAGCCACAACATTGCCAACTTCGGCTTGTTGCACATAATCACCTGTTCCCTGTCCCACAACATTTATCTGTACTCCTCTTGATCACCACTCTAGCTTAGGTTTCTGAAATTTCTTCTTAAGAGGCACCAGAGTTTGTTGGGGCACATTTGCTTGGACGTTGTGTCTAATTTGCAAGCAAGAGTCACAATACTCGGGTTTCCACTTTCCAATCATAGGAAACTTCTTGATCAAAGTTTCTACTTCTTGATCAAAGTTTCTTTCCTTAAGGTCCTGTACTCTAAGTGTCTGAGATAAACTTCTGGTAACATCTCCCTCTAATAACATTCTAGCATATGAAATTATGTCTGCCAACACAGACATCAGCAAATAATGGTATCCCAATTGCATCCCAATCCTACTTAACGAATCCATGCTCCAACAATTAATTGGTAGTTTTGGGATTTTAACCCCTGGGGGGGGGGGGGGGGGATAGTTTTTACTTTTCAGAATCAAAATCAGCATTCTGCGGTTTGATGATCATAGGGCCTATTGTTAATCATATGTGGACTTGAATATAGCACCCCATTTCAATCTGCAACGACTTCTTCACCCATGTCTAACAGACGTTGAGTGTCACTTGACTTAGTCCCATTTTCCTCATTTATAATCTTACAGACACTACTAGAGCTGGGGTTATAGTAGATCTGAATTCATGCAAATTTGATTTCCTATTTCCTGCATAGAATTATTCCAGGAATCAGCTTTGGCTACCCCTAATGTCGGTTTAACTCATCCTTACGAGTAGGAAACGCCGTCCATACTTCATCTCTAGTATCCCCAGTTGTAGATTTTCTCTCGTTTATCACTAGGTTCTTCTTCGTCGCATCTCCTTTATTAAGTTCCTGCAATGTTATCTTGTTGTTCGTCTTTCTCGGCCGGCATCTTCCTTTACTAGCCTCGCATTTCTAGCTTCTTTTTGGTGCACCTATGATGCTCCGGTATGTTAGAAGATTGGGTGTTGTTCGTACAGGATTATATTATAATGTAGAACCTCGACATTTTTGTATACTGCTTGCTTAGGGAAGAATTTCCCGTTATTAATAAATAATATTTACCTTATTAATAGAAGAAAAAAAAAGGTCTAACATGTCCACATGTCGCAGAAATGTAGATGTTAGGATGTGCAGCCACACTCTTAGACAAGAGTAGAATGAACACATAAAAAAGATGGTGCGAACAACACACATAGAGGACAAAATGAAATACAATCACCTGAGAAGGTTTAACTAAGACCTACATAGACCTCTACATGCACTGGTGTATAAGTGCAGCATTATGGTGATCGAAAGTTTGTGACACTATGGCAATTGAAAGTGCGGCAAGGGGATAAGTTGACTTAAACTCAAATAAAATAAAATTATCTCAAAATTCCTAAAACCAACAGAAATCTAAACAAACTTAACTAAGAACAAAAGAAAGTGGAGGAAAAGATTAAAATAGGTGATACCAACAAGTCAAGATTAAGGATTAGTTATCATTGTTACTCTTGCATTGAGTCTTGGTTTCCAGTTATAAACTAGTATGTCATCGTAGAGAGAACGTGAATTTAGAGAATCTCTAGTTTAGAGAACCCCTTTAAAAGAAAAATTATCCATAACCAAAATAATACTTGAATGAATCTATTTCAACACCCAGGCTGTCAATATGGTGCATCACATATAGCATGTGCATTGGCATGTAGGAGTAGAGGAGTTATATTCCCACCCCCACCCCAGATTTGGATTCGACTTTTAAGTCTTTCAATAATTAACCAATTTAACCTTTCAAATATGTATTAAGTATTAAAATTCATGTAAACGAATAAAGTGGAATAGTAACGGAGAATTCATTTTGTCAAACCCAACTTTCTTAGGGATTGAGGGGTAGTTTATTGATTTGAATGATTGATCGTAGCTCACAGCAACTACAGCCCATTGATCTCCCATTTTTTGGCATCTGTCAATTCAGTAAAATATTGTAGTGCATTTTGTACTTATTTTTAGACGCACAATTTAGCACAGCATAAACTCTAAGCCTATTAAATATGCCAATCATCAGCTTTATTTCCATCTTGCTGGGAGTTTTAGTCTGAAATTCCTAAATGCAATGACTCCTAATTAAGCATAAAAGCAAGTAGTCGGACTGAACCAACAATAACAAGGATACGAGTTGGGAAAAGATGACAGTGTTACTAAATTAAAAGTCATTCTCTACCTGATCATAAAGCAAAGACAAAAGGTTGTTAGCATCAGCTTTGGATAAGCCTTTCTCTGGTATTATCTGAAGCTTTGGGGTCTTGTATGGATACCCAGGCAAACACCTAAAATATAAAAGGAACAAAGACAGGATGAAATTAGGAGAAATGAATACCCAGAAAAGAATAGACAACACAGCACAAAAAAGGCACATAAAAGTGCAGCCTGTTAACCTCACTGAAAGAAGAGCTGACACATCTGAATCTTCATAGCCAGCATCCTTTGAGTAAGGCCTGTTAATTCATGCGTAGAACTTTGGTACAAACGAATAAAGACAGTACAGTGGAGTTTTATGAGTATTTCTAATGTCCAAAACCTGAGCTTGATATGAAGCTGTGAAGGTGACTCTGAAACAACTTCACAATCTTCTTGAAATATGGCACACCTAACATTCCGTGAATCAATGAGTAAGGCCATGTATGGAAATAAATATTTCTTTCTAGAAAGTTTATCAATTGAAGAAAGGTTAAAGTAGAGCAAAATAGAGAACTGGAAGGCCAAAAACACTATAGCTTCTCAATCTCAGTATAATTCAGCAAAAGATAAACTACTAATTATGCAACTGATTTGCACCAAATAGATGCAAAGAAAATCATGCTATTTCCCCACACGCATATAATTAGCAGAAGATGCTCTACAAAATTTTAGTCATCCCATTCCGGGAAAATGCACCAAACAATTGTTAAAACTGCATTTGGAAAAAAGCTACAGAGTAATAGAATTGGAATAGGCTGGGCTCTAGCATAAAATAAGGAACATTCCAGAATATTTCATAAAACCAGGGACCTGAATTGGACAGGTCGAACAATTACTCTCCACATGCTTTAACATAGAAAATATGGCCGATAGATGACGTGCATTCAGTAGCATAAAAGAGTTTAATCCGTAATCAAAACATTTTGCTGTTAAGGGCAAATATTTGAGCACTCAAATAGACGAGTGAATGAATAGTTTGGACTGACACTCCTTTGTTGACTCTGCATACACCTTGGTTAGGGATTTACTCCTTTTTGTATTCAGATGCATCCCTTCTGTGGAATCTGGAATCACATATCCTTTTTCCCTCAAGAAAATCAATGGAGACAAAAACAAAATTTTATAGCATTATTCACCAGTTCTACTCTTTTCGTTTTCGAAGGATATTTTGTCAAAATCCTTGACAAGAGACCCGGGAAAAAGAAAAGAATGTTCCATATTAAGGAAAGAAGAGGGTCCTGTTGATATCTCCACCAAAGCTATTACATCAAGATAGCTATGTCTATAATAGCCCGTCAATCCAGTACAACATTTTAAATTGGACAAAAATGCTAAGGAAAGAGAACACAGTACACCATTTCATACACAGGACAGGAATGAATCTAATCACTAGTCAGTGCCAGGTCGCCTGGGATTTGGCATTCGAATACAAGGAGGATAAATCCAATTTCAAATCTGATTCGTCCCTAGAAATTCCATTAAAGTCTGCAGGCATGCTTCGAAACAGTTAGTTAATATTTCTTGAGTAAATAGCAAGTAAACATAATCTGGAAGATTACGGTCCAATTAGTGTAAAATAGTAATCTGCAATTATCAGATTCATAGAAGGATCAATATTACATACAACTTTACCACTATATAGATCCTAGTTATTAGTAAGTCTTATTGATACTGGGAGAAACTGTAGAGAATATGATACGAGTAGCTCGAGCCAGTAGTACATCGTGCTTGCGGAATGGTACAAAGTAGTTAAAGTTAGTTAAATAGCGGGCTGAAGAGAAGTTTGAGAACTATTAGTTTAGTCCACTTAGTTTTTAAATTACAACTTATAGTAATTACACATTGGCCCAGTAATTTTCTTTGTCTTTTATACAAAAGGTCCAAGTGACCAAATAGGGAAAGGCACGGGTGTTAGCTGAGGGAATTTCACCTCACTCACTATATATATATATATATATATACACACATTGTAGTTCCTGTTTTAGTGGAATCAATCAGAGAATATACTCTTTATTTTGCCCTAGCTAGCTTCTTCTTCTTTATTTCCTTTTGTTCCATTTCTGCCGCAGCTTTTTCTTTCTTCTTTTACTGTTCCATTGCCATTTTCGTATCAGTGGTATCAGAGCACTTTCTTGGCTCTGTGGATATGGCGAATGAGATGAACGAGGTTATGAATGCATTACACAAGATCTCTACTGAGATATCTAGTTTTACAGCTCGACAAGAGCAATTGGAAGCTGCTCAAGAGCAGAGTAGCAAACAGCAAGAGGAATCCTTGAATGAGCTGAGATAGGTTCTCAACGAGGTCATCCATGGAGGTAAACAACCTGAGAGAGACAAAAAGGCGTTGCCGGATGAAGGTGAGCTCTACTCCCCAAGTGATAGACCTTTTGATTTTGGAGATCTAGCAACACCTAGCACTAGCAACCTGAACACTACCGCTATGGCTTCCCTTCCCTCCCCTGCGAATGCCACTACTCAGAACCCTAGACTAGCTAGTACTAACATTTAAGTTAGTGCTGTTTCTTCTTCCACACTCCCAATGGTACAACCAGTTCATACAGCTGTAGCTCAGGCTCAGCCACAACCCCTCTCCCTTCGCTCAGTCATGATAAACACACCTCTCATACAACACCCTCAACCTCAACCTTATGTGCCTCCAAACGTGCCTTCTCCTCATCCTAGAACCACTACACTTCAACCCCAAAACTTCCCAACTCAATCTCTTAATGGAAGGTTTTACCAACCCACAATGAGCTGGAACCAAGGTTCACCTATGGGAGTAATGCCTTCCTACCTCCCTTACCATCAAGCCACACAGTACCCTCCGCCCTATCATACCCAAACTGCACACATACTCCCTCCCCTGTACCACCAAACCAACTACGTACCAACCCCTCCTCAGTATCAGTATAATGTCAATACACAAAGCCACCCCCAAACACAAAAGCCCAATATTCCCTATACCAAATACACTAAGGTTGAGTTCCCTAAGTTCAATGGGGATGACTTAAGAACATGGTTGTATAAGGTGGAACAATTTTTTGCGGATGAACATGTTACCATTCAGCAAAAGATGAAGTTAGTCTCACTACACTTTGAGGGTGATGCATTACAGTGGCACTTAGGGTATATGAGGAGTAGAGGTCCTATGCCATTACCTACTTGGGATGAATATTTGTGGGCTCTTTGTGACAGCTTTGGAGCTGAATATTCTGACCCCATGACTGAGTTAATGAACATTAAGCATATAGGTTCTGTCAAGGACTATCAAAAGGCTTTTGTGAGTGTGATGACAAGGATCAACCTCTCTACAGAACATGCTATAAGCATTTTTCTGAATAACTTGAAACCTGAGCTTAGCCATGCTGTTAAGGTGGGCAACCCTACCAGCCTTCCACAGGCATGCTACTTGGCTAGACTACAAGAGGCCAATTTTGCTGCCCAATCCAAGGCAATCAAGGGTGCCTTTTCAGCATCAACTGTGTACAAGGAAATTGGGGCATGTTTAAAGGGAACCAACCTACTTACAAGAAGCCAATGGTTGCTAACTTTAACAACAACAGAAGAAGGAGGCTCACCCAAGCTGAGATGGATGAGAAGAGAGCAAATGGGATTTGTTTCTTCTGTGATAAAAAGTTTACACCATGGCACAAATGTAAGGCAAAAAGGCAATTGTACTCCTTAGAAATTGAGGAGGAACAATTGACTACTACAGAAGAACCAGACCTGGAGGTATTCACTGAAGAGCCAGAGGTGGAAGAAGAGCGTATTGAGAACTGTGAGATTTCCTTGGAAGCTATGAATGGCTCTAGAGGATACAAGATTTTAAGGATTCAAAAGCCAACCAATGTCTTGATTGATAGTGGTTACACTCACAATTTTATCAATGAACATACACCAAAAAGGCTTGGGTGCAAGGTTTACCAAATGAGTCCACAAGATGTCTCAGTGGCTGATGGAAGAGTGATACAATCAGTATAGGGCAGCAAAGGTTTTACTTGGCTAATGCAAGGTGTGGTGTTCACAGATGACTTCTTGGTGCTCCCTATAGGCAGCTGTGATGTGGTACTAGGAATACAATGGCTAAGTAAGTTAGGGGACATCCAAGTTAACTTTGCAAAGCTATGGATGCAATTCATATATCAAGATTAATCAGTCACCTTGCAAGTAATACACCCCTCCTCCTTCAAGACTGTGAATGCTAAGGCTCTCAATAATATCACAGTCAACACTGCTCAACCTTTATGATTAAGGTCTGCCCAAAGGGAATCACTGAAGAGGAGCCAGATTCAAAGCAGGAAGAAGCGCCCCTTGAAATACATATGCTATTAGATGGATATAGGGAACTGTTTGCTGAACCTAAACAGCTACCTCCCTCAAGAGGGGTGTTTGATCATCACATTCCTCTAGTGGAAGGTAGCCTACCAGTGAACTCTAGACCCTATAGGTACTCCCCTATTCAGAAAGATGTGATTGAAAAAATGACACAGGAAATGTTGAGTCAAGGCATAATCCAGTACAGCTCTAGCTCTTATGCATCACGTGTAGTCCTAGTGAGCAAGAAAGATGGCTCCTGGAGGTTGTGCGTGGACTACATAGCATTGAACAAGCTGACTATCAAAGATAAGTTCCCCATAACTATCATTGAAGAGCTACTGGATGAGTTAGGAGGCTCAAAAGCCTACTCTAAAATAGACTCAAGGGCTGGGTACCATCAAATCAGGATGACACCTGCAGACATACACAAAACAGCTTTCAGGACTCACTCTAGACACTATGAATACCTAGTTATGCCATTTGGCTTAACTAATGCCCCTTCAAGCTTTCAGGGATTGATGAACCATATATTCAAGGCTTATCTGAGGAAATTCATACTGGTCTTCTTTGATGACATCTTAGTGTTCAGTAAGAGCTTAGAGGATCATGTCCAACACCTCAGAACTACCTTTGAACTCTTGGTGCAACACCAGCTCTTTGCCAAGAGGAGCAAGTGTGTCTTTGCTGCCGATAGAATTGAATACTTAGGCCACTACATATCAGTTGCAGGTGTTGCCACTGACCCTAGGAAGATCAAAGTTGTACAAACCTGGCCTGAACCTGCTAACCTCAAGCAACTAAGAGGATTCCTGGGTTTAGCAGGATATTATAGGAAGTTTATCAAAGGTTGTGGAGTTATGAGTAAACCTCTTACTGATTTACTCAAGAACGACAACTTTCAATGGTCTTGCAAGGCAACTGAAGCTTTCAACAAACTGAAGGAAGCCTTAACTTCTGCACTTGTGCTAACTCTACCTAACTTTTTCATTCCCTTTGTGGTAGGGACTGATGCATGTAGCAGGGAATAGGGGATGTTCTAATGCAAAATGGACAGCCAATTGCTTACTTAAGCAAGGTATTGTCTCCTCAACACTAATCCCTATCTGTTTATGACAAGGAACTTCTAGCTTTGGTGATGGCAGTTAACAAGTGGGCTCAATATCTGACAGGAAGGCCTTTCATAGTGAAAACAGACCAAAAAGCTCTTAAGTTTCTCTTAGAGCAAAAGCTGCACACACAGGGTCCCAACTTAAATGGATAACTAAGCTCATGCAATATGACTTCATTATTGAGTACAAAAAGGGAAAGGAGAATAAGGTAGCAGATGCATTGTCCAGGTTACCATTGGTGGAACTAGCTACCTTGACACTGTCCACTGTCAAAACTGATTTGTTAAGTCTCATTATGCAAAGTTGGGCCATAGACACTGAACTCACTGACCTTATTGCTGCACTCAAGATAGGGGATGCTGAGATCAATGGCTACTCCTTTGTACATGAACAACTCAGAAGAAATGGGAAGCTGGTGGTAGGCCCTGATGAGCAGCTATAGACCATACTTACAGGAGAATAGCTGCACTTTTCTATTGGAAGGGCTTGAAAGAAGATGTTCAGACTCATGTCAAACAGTGTGACACATGTCAAAGAAGCAAGTATGAAACCACACCCTACCCAGGATTACTTCAACCCCTCAAACTACCTTCACTGGCCTGGAGTAGTATTAGTATGGATTTCATTGAGGGATTACCAAAGTCTCATGGGAAGTCTGTTATTTGGGTAGTTGTTGACAGGTTAACAAAATATGCACATTTCATTGGAGTGTCATACCCATATTCAGCTGGTGATATTGCTAAATTGTTCATGGAATATGTGTTCAAATTACATGGGATGCCAGAAGATATAGTCAGTGATAGGGATCCTACATTCACCAGCAAACTATGGCAAGAGTTATTCTCTATGCATGGAGTCACACTCAGTACCTCCACAGCCTATCATCCTCAATCGGATGGGCAAACAGAGGATGGCAACACAAGCTCAAAAAGATTGGTTCTCTTATTTGGCAGCTGCTGAGTGGTGGTACAATACCACATTCCATTCCTCAATCCAAACCACACCCTATGAAGCCTTGTATGGACAGCCTCCACCACTCCACTTACCTTACATTGCTGAGGATTCTATCAAGGAAGAAGTAGATAGAAGCCTACTCACCAAAGAATTCAAGTACCAACTGCTGAAATACCATCTACAGAGGGCACAACAGAGGATGGCTACACAAGCTAATAAGCATAGTTTTGACACACGATTCAAGGTAGGTGATTGGGTGTACCTCAAATCCAACCTTATAGGTAGCTCAATATGTCAGGCTCTCATTTCTCCGAACTCTCAGCCAAATACTACGAGCCATATCAGATCCTACAAAGAATTGGAAATGTAGCTTACAAACTGTCCTTTCCCTCTCAACTTCTCCTCCACCCTACATTCCATGTATCCCAGCTCAAACCTTGCCACAAGTTACCTGAGAAGATTTCACCCCCCCCCCCCCGGTCATTGATATTTCTTGCCCTCGACCTCAACAAATTCTAGACAGACGCATGGTGCAAAAAGGAAACAGCCATTGCTCAAGTACTCGTTCAGTGGGAGCACACAACACCAGAACAAGCTACTTGGGAGGATTATCATTCCCTAAGACTAGATTTCCATCTTTCCTTCCTTGATGACAAGGAAGATTTTGACAAGAGGGATCTGATACGAGTAGCTCGAGCTAGTAGTACATCGTGCTTGCGGAATGGTACAAAGTAGTTAAAGTTAGTTAAATAGCAGGCTGAAGAGAAGTTTGAGAACTATTAGTTTAGTCACTTAGTTTTTAAATTACAACTTATAGTAATTACACATTGGCCCTGTAATTTCCTTTGTCTTTTATTCAAAAGGTCCAAGTGACCAAATAGGGAAAGGCACGGGTGTTAGCTGAGGGAATTTCAACTCACTCTCTCTCTCTATATATATATATATTGTAATTCCTGCTTTAGTGGAATCAATCAGAGAATATACTCTTTATTTTGCCCTAGCTAGCTTCTTCTTCTTTATTTCCTTTTGTTACATTTATGCCGCAGCTTTTTCTTTCTTCTTTTACTGTTCCATTGCCATTTTCGTATCAGAATACCACAACCTCAATATGAAGGTTGTATTGCCTGTTTGATTGCTCCAGGAAAGTAGTTACTCTTTATTACTTGATGACGACTACTGCCCTTGCTAGGGCATTTGAGCAGCATCTCATTTATGCCTTTACACAACAGCTTTAATCCTTATAAAGGTATTTTTTGTAATCAATAGGTGATAGTAACAAATGCACAAGAGTTGAGTTAAAGAAGGATAAGCTTACAATGCAGTGACCTCTTCGGCAAGCAATTCAGAATTACCGTCACCAATCGAATTGTGATCTTTGGATTTGGATGACTTGTTGCGCCGCCCCAATCCACCACTCTTCCTCTTCTTCTTCTTTGAACTTTGCCCCATTCTGAGATTTGCCCGAATGGAGGCGGGAGCGAAACTAGATTCAACAATTGAGCAATTCGATCGTGGTCCTTCTATTTTCTTTACCTTTAACGCTTTAGCTTCAACACGAATTACTTATCAATTATACACTTTCGTCAAAACGTAGTTGGATTTATGAAAGGAAAAAAAATATGAAAAATTGCGACAATCTATTAGTGTGCTGAAAAATAATGTTATTTGTTGGAAAATTGCTATTGGATAGGGTCCGTCCATAATTAGCCATTTGACTCATTAGCTAGTCTTTCTCCTAAAACCCTACTACTTGCCCATATAAACACTCTACAGTAGTCGTTGAAAAGAACATGCTTATCATCGTAAAAGAAAGGCTAGCGTTTTACACGATGTAAAATTCAATGTAAATCGCCTTCGCTAAGAAAAAACGTGTGTCTCCTAAAACTAGTGTTTACGGGCTAAATACTTTATTATTACACTAGTCTTCTGGTACTCAGTCTCTATGAATACAAGATTTTAAGAGATCATATAGTTATTATATTAAAAATTTGTTTGAGTTATGTATTACTTAAAAGTTAAACAAAAAGTGTAAGTTCTTGAAATTAATGATTGTTGATCACATTTAGCTAACTCAATAAAGGAAGAAACTATGTGGATGTTCTTAATCATCTCTATCAATATACTCAGCTAAAAATTCAACGTAATTAATATAAATCACTATCGCAAAAATAGAATCCAGAAAGTGCATTTAGATTAATTTATTCTTTTTTTCGTTTTGGAGTGAGCTTTTTATCTGCCCAAGCTTATAAGCACATCCTGATGCATCCGAAAGTTGCCTTCTTATGTTAGCAAGAGTGTGGGACAGATACTGAATTGCTTACGGTTGATGGACTCAAAAGGATGTATATGCTAATATTATTTTAGAAGGAGTCAAAATATGGAATACATGTTAAAAATCAAATGTAAAATTTATTCTTTCATCACTGGTCAATTGATGTTAAGTTTCCATATGTGTCGATAGTCGGTTCTAAGTCTGGTTTGATTAAAAATACTTTAATGGTTTATAATCTTTAAAATAATTTTAAAAGAAAACAAAATAATTTTTTTAAATAAGAAACGGAGTGTTTTAGTTTTTCATTTCTATTGTGAATTTAAATATTTGGATTTAAAAAAGAATTAAAACGTTGAAAATGAGATTTTTATTATGTCACCAGGGTGACTTAGTTAAAATAACTACACATCTACTATTTGCATCCGAGACAATAACTCTAACGATTTAATAAAGCATATGTATTTTTAAATTTCTAATTATACAATTAAAGTTATTTTTCACAAGAAATTTGGCAAATACAATAAGTATAAATTCCTTACTTAACTTTTATGTTACAATTGTCAAAATATTTCAAAATATGTTATATAAGGATTTTGCTACTTATTAGCGCATTACGGTTATATATAAGATGAATATTGCTTAGCTTATTACATAGGAACTTTGAGTTGTGATAGAAAATTCTGTTAAAATATCATGGTATAGCCAGTTTTTACACTGGTCAATGAAAAATAGCCAGCGTTTATCAAGTCAATGAAAAATAGCCACTATTTTGCTGCAGCAGGGATCCGTCCAGTATAATATACGGGAGTTCTGGTGCATTTGTGTACGAACTCCAGCATATTATGCTGGACCGGTATACTTTGCTAACTACTGTAAAATTTGCGGGAGACTGGAGCACCAGTGCTCCAAACTCCAGTATATTATACTGGACAATTATACTTGCTGGAACTCCCGTAAAATTTGCGGGAGTTCCAGCATAGTTATCCTGGAACTCCCGTAAAATTTACGGGAGTTCAAGCATACTTATGCTGGAACTCCCGTAAAATTTGCGGGCGTATTTTTCCGGATTTTGAGCAGTGTTTTCGCTCAGATTTAAAGTGGCTAAATTTCGATGACTTTTGAAACTTGGCTATTTTTCAACGACCAGTGGTAAATCTGGCTATTTTTGAATTTCTCCCGAAAATTCTTTGTGATTGTTTGTTGTTGTCTAGTTGTTTTCGGAATTGTAAGAGTTTTATTTTACCTGGGACAGGGGGAATGTCCAGCTCTCAGTTAACTTTATTTTTATTTCTTATACAAAATGTTTACTTCGTAATAAAATATTGTAATTACAAAAAAGTAAAATAAATATACATAACAAATCGTCTGAGAATAATTACAATATGTTCAAAATAATTTTCAATTTTATTAGGAATATATAATAAATATTGTTCAATCCATTCCAATTCAAATTTAATTCACCTATCAAAAAGTTTATAGTGTCGACACAGATAAGAAAAAAATTTAACAACTAAAATTTTAGTTGATCTCAAAATTCTAAATATTAAAAAAATTTATTAAATGATTATTTTATCTAGTAAGAATTAGGCAAAATCTTAATTACAAAAAAATCTCCTAAATTTAAAAAGATAAAAGGGAAATTTTAATAATCCAAAATATAAATGGAGTTGAACGACAAACTTTCCTGGTTTAGGAAAATTTAATTAACTAAAAAAAAAAGTCTCCTAAATCTAAGAAGGAGAATGGAGAAATTTAGTATCCCAAAGTATAAATGGAATTAGAAAGACATTCTTTCCCAGCGTGTAGTGAACGTTCAGGCAAAATTTTATTCACAATAAACGACTATTCCTAAATAGTAGGAAAATTAATTAAATAATTATATCTAAAATTAATGAAATACTCAAATTACTGTATTGTCCAATGTGAACTATATGTTTTAAAGGGTAAAAAAGACGAATGACATTTCGCTAATGGTCTTCGTGCTTTTAATATAGTATAGATTATCTAATACTTGAATTCAAAAGTAAATATCTTTTGAACATGCAAAGATAATCAATTGAATTAAGTTAGTTAAATATCATAGTATATGCATTTATTTATCTATATCTTTGTCTATATATATATTGTAATAAAGGTATGAAGGCCCTTAACGAAATGTTGTTTGCCTTTTATAACCTTTAAGAATATATTTTATATTGAACAAAATAGTAATGTTAGTTATTTTTCTAATATATAGGAATAGTAGTTGAATTATTTTTCTAACATTTAGGGACAATCATTTAATTATTTGCCTAATATTTAAGACTTTGATATGGAAATCATATAATTATTTAATTCGACTTTGATGAGGAAGAAGAAGAGGGTGGGGTGGAGTTGATCGAAGATCAGGTGGGCAACTTTGACTCAGGACAAGGCTCAGGAGTTGCGGGAGAAGTTGCTGGCTGCAAGGGCTCGGAGGAGTAGTGGGGACGCGAGTGGTATGTGGACGAGGATGGTGGACTGCACTAAGGAGGCTGCGATGGAGGTGTTAGGGGTCTTGAAAGGTTACGCTGGCGGCCACAAAGGAGACTGGTGGTGGAACGAGGAGGTTCAAAGGAAAGTAGAAGCGAAGAAAGGGGCATATTTGAAGCTAGTAGAGATCACGGACAAGGAGGAGAAGATGACCATCAGAGAAGGGTATAAGAAGGAGGCGAAGCTGGCGATCACGGAGGCTAAGACTGTAGCATTTTCCCATTTGTATGAAGAACTGATGGATAAAGGCGGGGTCATAAAGTTGTTTCAGGTAGCTAAGATGAGAGAGAGGAAGACTCGTGATCTGGACCAAGTGAGGTACATCAAAGACGAGGAGGTCAGAGTTTTAATGGAAGAGGCACAGATCAAGAGAACGTGGCAGACCTACTTCCATGGACTCTTGAATGACGAGGGGGGTAGGAACATTGTGCTGGGAAATAAGGAGCACTCCATGAGTCGTAGTGATTTTAGGTATTGTAGGTGCTTTAGTTTTGAGGAGGTCGCAGGGGCGGTACGTAAGATGAGCAAGGGACCGGGCTAGATGAGATCTCGGTTGAATTTTGGAGGTATGCGGGTAGGGCTGTCTTGGAGTGGCTGGCTGGGCTATGTAACATTATTTTTAGGACGAAGAATATGCCCGAGGAGTGGAGGTGGAGTATGATGATTCCATTTTACAATAACAAATGTGATATCAAATATTGTAACAATTGTAGGGGTATCAAGTTGCTTAGTCACACTATGAAAATCTGGGAGAGGGTGGTGAAAGAGAGGGTTAGGAGGACTGTATCTATTTCCGAGAGCCAGTTCGGTTTCATGCCGGGACGTTCGACTACGGAAGCCATCCATCTTGTTTGGAGGTTGGTGGAATAGTATAGGGATAGGAAGAAAGATTTGCATATGGTGTTTATTGACCTAGAGAAAGCATACGACAAGGTCCCTAGGGAGGTCCTTTGGAGATGCTTGGAGTCTAGAGGTGTTCCTGTAGCATAAATTAGACTTATTAAAGATATATATGATGGAACTAAGACTCGGGGGTTGTGAGAGGAGACTCGGACCATTTTCCGGTTGGTATGGGGTTACACCAAGGATCTGCGCTTAGCCTATTCTTATTTGCTTTGGCGATGGATGCACTAACGCATTATATTCAAGAGGAGGTGCCATGGTGTATGTTATTCGTTGACGATATAGTACTGATTGATGAGATGCGAGGCGGTGTTAATGAAAAGTTAGAGGTTTGGAGACAGACCTTATAGTCTAAAGGTTTCAAGTTGAGCAGGACTAAGACAGAGTACTTAGAGTGCAAGTTCAGCGACGTGACGGGGGAGCGGATATAGACGTGAGGCTTGACTCGCAAATCATCCCTAAGATAGGAAGTTTCAAGTATCTTGGACTATGATGTCTTTGAATATTGATGTGCAGGTTTGAGATCCTTAGGCCATGGAACGATGTCCTCTGACTATAAAGATGATGCCTTTAGACTATGACGCCTTCGGATAACATGGTGATATTTTAGCCCATGAGATGTATGGATAAAGCAATATTTGATTGTTCACAAGACATGGGCAACTCTTAACCCCATGCAAGAATGGAGGCAGATCATAGCCTCATACAAGTAATGAAGGTGATAATTAACCTTACGTGAGTAAGAGGATCGTGCTTGGCCTGATGCAATAGTCTGGGCGACGCTTAGCCCTATACAAGCATGGAGGCAATGCGTAGCTTCATGCAAGTAGGAGGGCAGTGCTCGGCCCTATGTAAATAGTGAGGGCAACATCCGGACCTATGCAAGTGTGGAGGCAGATTTAGCCTCATGCAGGTAGAAGGGACGTGCTAAACCCGATGCAAATAGTGAGGGCATTATTTAGCCCTATACAAGTGTGGAGGTAGAGCTTAGCCTCATGCAGGTAGAAGGGTCGTGCTAAACCCGATGCAAATAGTGAGGGCATTATTTAGCCCTATTCAAGTGCGGAGGTAGAGCTTAGCCTCGTGCTGGTAGAATGGTCGTGCTAAACCCGATGCAAATAGTGAGGGAAGTGTTTAGTCTTATTCAAGTGTGGAGGCAGAGCTTAGACTCATGCAAGAAAGGAAAGAAGGCAATGCTTAGCTTGGCAAATTCATGCTCTGCAACGTCTATCCACGTGCGGGTAGTGACTTCATCGAGTATCCTTTGCGGATATCCTTGATAGTGCTGCTTCTTTTATTCCTACATTCAAAGAAAAATGGTGAGTTTGAGGGGAAGGTTGAATCGTACTTTTGACTCCACGCCCCATCTCTGCTTCCAATTTCGCCTTCCGGTCTTGACACTTCTATGCTTCGACCTCGCCTCAGTAGCATTTGGCTATTATAAATATTTGAATTTTGAAAATATGCATAATTTGTACTTACCAAAATAGAGAGAGAATGCAGTTATTAAGATGCATGATAAAAATAGATAGTTTTTTTTGAATCATAAATCGCGACATGCTTTGAGACATTGCAGCGTCCTTATCCTGTATAGAATTTTGAGGACTCCCTCAAAAGTTCGAATTCTACCCCAGTTCTGATGGATCAGCTCTGATATACTTCCTGATAATACTCTTCTGGCGACTCTTGGTGCGATATTGTTGGATCTGATGAAACTCAAAGTTTGCCCCAATTATTGACCATGGAGGAAAATGGAAATTTTATTATAATGTGATCAAACCCACAGGGCTGCCTACAAAGTTTGATTTTGTACACATTTTGTTTCACTTAGCTCGGCTTCTTGTATGATCTATAAGGAAGGGATTTCTACCTCAGCGGGTATAACATCTTTAGTACCATAAATCAGTAGATAAGGAGTTTCCCCGGTTGATGTTCAGATGTGGTGCAATATCCAAGCAAGGCGAATGGTAGCTTCTTATGCCAATGCTTGAGTTGTCTATCATCTTCCTTAGTATCTTCTTAATATTCACGTTGACGACTTCTACAACTCCGTTCATCTAATGCATGTATGCGGTAGAATTGCGGTGCTTGATCTTGAATGTATCACATATGGCTTGCATCAGATCAGTGTTGAGGTTGGTGGCATTGTAAGTGATGATTGACTCGGGAACTCCAAATCGGCAGACAATACGATCTCAGACAAAATCTGCTACGGCCTTCTTTGTCACGACTTTGTAGGAAGAAGCTTCAACCCATTAGAGGCGACAGGCTCGATTGGGCCAATGATATCCATGGCCCATGAGGCAAAAGGCCATGGCGAACTTGTCACATTGAGCTCATTAGGTGGAACGCTTATCATGTCAGCATGTACCTAGCACTAGTGACACTTTTGCACGTACTTGATACAGTCAGTCTCCATAGTCATCCAAAAGTAGCCCACCCTCAGTATCTTCTTGGCTAGAACGAACCCATTCATATGGGGTCTGCATGTTCCGTCATGTATTTCTTCAAGCATTCTGGATGCTTCTTTGGCACCGACACATCTTAACAACACAAGTTCAGGAGTTCTTCTGTATAGAATCCCTTCACTCCAAAAGAAATAGTTATCTAGTCTTCTTAATGTGTTCTTTTGAGTATGTGTAGCGTTTTATAGGTATTCTCCCTTTACCAGATACTTCCTGATATCGTGAAACCATGGCTTCCCATCAAATTCTTCTTCAACATGGACAAAATAGGCAGGTTGCTTGCAGATCTCTATCAGGATAAGGTCAATATAGTTCTTATCTGGATGTTGTATCATGGAAGACAATGTGGCCAACGCGTCTGGGAACTCGTTCTTAATCCGGGAAACATGCTTGAATTCTATCTTTGCGAATCTCTTGATCAATCCTTGCACACAATGCAAGTATGGTAGTATATTGGTATTCTTGGTTGCCCATTCTCCGAGTACCTAATGTATCAACAGGTCTGAATCTCTGATCACCAATAGTTCTTTAATGTTCATGTCAATGGCTAGCTTGATTCCCCGGATGCAAGCTTCATATTCCGCCATATTGTTAGTGCACTAGAATCTGAGCTTGGCGGATACCGAATGGTGTTGGCTAGTTTTCGATACCAGGACAACCCCGATGCCTACTCCTTTGAAGTTTGCGGCTCCGTCGAAAAACAATTTTCACCCATCATAAGCTTCTACGATATCTTCCCCTAGAATGAAACCTCTTTGTCTAGAAAATATGTCTTCATTGGTTCATATTCTCCATCCACGGGATTCTCCGTAGATGGTCGGCCAATGTTTTCCCCTTGACTACTTTTTGAGTCACATAGATGACGTCGAATTCACTTAGAAGTATTTTCCACTTAGCCAGCTTGCTCGTGGGCATTGGTTTTTGGAAAATGTACGTTAAAGGGTCCATTATTTATATAAGGTATGTAGTGTATGCATATAAATAGTGTGTCGGCTTTTGTGCTATCCATGTCAAGGCACACCAAGTACGCTCCAACAAAGAATATCGAGCTTCATAAGGCGTGAACTTCTTACTTAGATAGTATATGGCTTGCTCTTTCCTGCTAGTCTCATCATGTTGTCCTAAGACGCATCCGAATGTTCTGTCCAACATAGACAAATAGAGCAAGCAGAGGTCTCCTGGGCTCTGGTAGGACCAGCACATGAGTTTTGGACAAATACTCCTTGCTTTTGTCGAAGGCTTTCTGACACTCCTATGTTCAACTTGTCGCAGTATCCTTTCTTAACATCCTGAATATCCGTTCACATATCACTTCGACTGGCTATGAAATGACTAATGTAATTGAGACAACCCAAGAAACTCATCACATCTTTCTTGTTCTTGGGCGGTGACAAATCTTGGATGGCTTTGATCTTTGATGGATCTGACTCTATCCATTGACGGTTGATGATAAAACCCAATAATTTCCCAGCGAGGACCCGAAGGCACATTTTGCAGGGTTCAGCTTCTAGTTGTACTTCTGCAAGGGGTCGAAAAATTTCCTCAAATTTTTTATGTGATATGGACTCTTTTTGGATTTGATGATGACGTCATCCACATAAACCTCAATTTCCTTATGGATCATATAATGGAAGAGGGTAGCCATGGCTCTCATTTATGTAGCTCCGACTTTTTTTTAGACCGAATGACATCATTTTATACCAATACATACCCACGGCGTGATGAAGGCCTATTTCTCCGCATCTCCTTCATTCATCTAGATCTGGTGATATCCTGTGAAAAAATCAATAAAGGACTGGAGTTCATGCTTGGTGCAATTATCGATCAGGATATGTATGATCGGTAGAGGAAAATCATCCTTGGGACTTGATTTGCTTATATCTCTGTAGTAGACGCAACCCTGACCTTTCCATCTTTCCTCGGTACGGGTACGATGTCGCCTAGCCAGGTTGGATACTCAATCACTCGAAGAACCTTGGCGTTGATCTGTCTAGTAACCTCTTCTTTTATTTTCAAACTCATGCCTGACTTGAATTTCTTGAGTTTTTGCTTCACTGGTGGACACATTTGGTTGATAGGTCGCTTATGGGCTACTATGGATGTGTTCAACCTTGTCATGTTGTCATAGGACTAGGCAAAGATGTCCTCATATTCTTTCAAAAATATGATGTATTCCTCTTTGTCGGACGGTGAAAGGTTGATACTAATGCAGGTCTCTTTGACTGTTTCAGAGTCCCCGAACTTAACTACTTCGATTTCTCTAAATTTGACTTGGGTTTGTTCTAAACATCCTCTACCTCTCTGACAATTTCCTTGGGTATTACATCATTTTCCCATTCCTCTAAATCACTTTAAAACACTGTTGCATTGTCTCATTACATGTCATAGTTAGAGATTCAACATGATAGGAAATAATTATGCTGAAAAATACAAATATAATAATATAAATAAATTAAAGGGAAAATGTGCATTAATTAAAACTTAGATTTTATCAAAACAAGCATAACTCGATATCTCGAGTACTTATTTCAGAATGGAAATACTGAATGTCTTAAATGATAGAATTTTTTTTAAAAAAACATGCTAGTCTGGTAAAGCTACCAAGGTGCTTGACGAGCCCGGGATGGTATAGCAGTCCAATTCTCTAGAATCGCTCCATCTCCTGCCATCTGGATGGTGAAATCCTCCACCTCATCTCCCAAAATCACGTTGCACTCTGTGTCTTATTCGGCCAAGAATAATCTTCTTATGTTAGCTAGAATCTCATCTTCTTTAGAACCCCAAATGACATCAGCTTTGCAGAATGTTTGGTACATAGGTGGTATAGGTTTGGGCAGTGGATAGTGAAAATCATTCCACGGAGGTGACCAGCCCTGATATTCTTGTACAGTGTAGTCTTACCCGAGACCGAATGTGGTGCTCTGAGGTCGCAGTCATAAAAGTTTTGTTATCCCTTGAAGCTTAGGGCCGAGACCTTGTCCTAGCTCATATCCCAGCCAAAGAAACATGCTTAGTACTTTGTTACTCAACCATCATCCTTTCTCAACGATGTTTACACTTTCGATATTGTGGATCATCTCTCCCCCTA